TTTATAAATAGTAAATTAAGAGGTGATTTGCTACACTTAGGTGGTTATACAAAATATAATAGATAATTCAAATTAATATCATCTTGATACAAATCTATAACTAATCTTATCATGTATACAGCAAATTCAAAATATATAAGAAAAAAAAAAAAATTATATTCATAACACCCATATTATATAACACCTATATAGTTTTAATTAGAGTTAGGGTTAAAATAGAGTTTTATAGAGTTTTTTATTATACAATATATATTAGATATAAGGTTCCAATAGGTCCCGATTTCAGTTCCCATGAGGTTTTCAAGGGCGCTGAACATTTTTACTTAGAGTACTTACACCGTTTACTTAGTACGTTTTTGAGATATAGCATAAGGTGTTATATAACACGGTGTTATAAATACAGCTTTCCTATTTTTAATCATATTTTTTTTGATCTGCAAAATTTACAAAATTTTGCAAACCGCAATAAATGGATTTTGGTGTAGTACAGTATACTTACACAAGTAAATTGATATTCAATTAGGGTACCTGATTGCTGCAAACTTTAACTTTATTGACTCCATATTGCTGACGAATTTTGGCGTAAAAAATGTCAATAGGGAATCAATCAGGATTCTATAAGTAGAAATCGGATCGAGACCCACAAGTCAAATAATCATCAATAGGAATTTTTACTAATTATAACCTATTTAATCAATAGTAACCAATCAGGTATAATTTAACCAGGATCATACCGATTGCAAACTATATAAACTGTTGTAATCGATAGTAATTAATCAGGTTTTTATTGTAATTACTATATACTAATCAAAACAAATTAATAGTTTGTAATTGGTAAGATCCTATCCGGTTGGTTACTATTGATTAAATGATTTATAATCAGTAAAACTACCTATTGAATCCCGATTGAATTCTGATTGACCTCCTTATGCGCCAAAACTCGACAGTAATAGGATGCCAATAGGGTTAAATTTGACAACAATCTGATAAAACCTATTGAATATCATTTTACTTGCATCAGGAAAATCACAGTAAAAGATTCTACGGTTTGTATTGCGCCACGCCACGTAGCACAAAAAAATTTATTTAGAAAAACCTTAATGCAATAAAATTAACTTTGATCAAACGATAATGGCGAAACAAAGAAATCAGACCAATCTGAGAATAAGCACTTCCGTGTATTCTAAATATTTTATATTGAGTTAAATTGGATAATATACCTATATAAAACAATAATAATGAAACAAAGAAAATTAGACCAATCTGAGAATACGTAAGTGCTTGATTCATTCTATATTAAGGTACAATAACAATTAAATAATCTGCAGGTTTTGTCGATCATGATCAGCGAGATTAAGCAAAAAAATTTTATTTCAAAATTTTGCTTATGTAACAGCTTTTCGTGCCTTAACAAAAAAAAAAAAATTCACGCATAATTGTGGTATAAACCTATACTTTAAATTCACATCTAACCCAACCCAACTTTAACTCAAAATTAACTTAATGCAAGCAGATGCAGATAATCTAGGTCAATTATCGACATAACCTGGCACAGAATTTTTTTCAAACTTCTTGCAGTTTCTTATTGCAACTGTACTGTTCTAGACTGTGCAAGCACACTAATTTAGAAGCATTAGGTAGAAAGAAGTTTCTAAATTAGATCAATTGCATAAGGCGTTTGCATAGGTCAATGTAATAAACAACGATATAACACATACAATATTGATATATATATATAGTAAATTCGAATTGAATAGGTTCTTAAATAAGAATGATTTAAACATTCAACAATATTTCTGTACTCAACGTTAAAAAAAAACCTGAAAAATTTTATTATAAGATTCAATAATTTTTAGTGATAGAAAACAAAGCAAAATGGCAGCTCAAATTGATGCCAAAATGGTAGCTCAGATTGACGCATATTTTTTGGATATAGACACCCTAATTAAATCTCATTTCAAAGATAACATACAAAATCGGTTCGAAGTTGAACAAAAATTCAAAGAGACATTACTATCAATTATTGAAATAGAGGCTGATGACGAAAAACAACATGGAATATATAGGTACAAATATCATACAACATATCATAGCTATTTAAACGCGATTGGTGATATGAAAGGTGCTAATAAACAAGAAAAATTAGCGAGAGGATATGAAAAATATATGTTTACTCGTACCGAGAAACCACAACCTATGTTATATGCAGATGTTGCAGTATCAAATGATGTCAATCAAGATTGTAATCTTGAACAAAAAATTTTAGAAGAATTAGACCAAATCCGCCCAATTTTAAAAGATGAATTGGTTGAAATTAAAGTAGTGGATACGCTTATTAGTCAGATACAACAGATTTTTGAAAACCTTAGTATAGAAACCAAGACCTTTGAAGGTTATCTAGAAGCAATAAATTGCGAGATCTATATGCATAGGTTAGCAGATAGCTTAATTAATGAAAAGTTAATCATATTAAAAGCTAATAAAAATCATGATCAAGGACTTGACAATAAGTCTTCAAAAATTAAAAACGTTAGCACAGAATTAATTGATCATTTAAAATGTTTGAAGTTATTCGCACATGACGCAGCATACTCAAAAAGAATAAAATTTATTTCGTTTTTATCAGATTCTTCAAATAAAGTGGAAATATTATTTAAAAATATTATAAATACAGAAGAAGAGATTAATAGACGCTCTAGAGTTCTTAGTTCATGTTTTCACCCAGATAAAACCAGAAATGCAAAAAGTCCATATGTGCTTCAAGAAATATATAAAAGTCAAGGCGATGAGATATTCAAACTTGTTCAAGAGTTCAAAGAACATTTATTGAGCAAGTTGATAAAAACCTTAGAATTAGCGGACTATGAAAAATACGGAAATGAACTTTGGAAAATTGCCATCGATTATCATAATGCATCAAAAGGACAATGGAACAAACTAAAAGTGTTAAAAGAAGATGATATCAATGAGTTCTCATTCGAGTCATTAAAGCATAATAGCATGATTATGGGAGAGTTAGCTTATCGTCAATATCGAGCAGCGTGTAAAATTGCAGATAAAAATAAAATGCTAGAAAAGCAAGTAAAATTGAGAGGATATATGGCTTTATGCTTATATCACACAAAAAAACTTCTAGAAGCGCCGTTATATGCTTTGGCGGCAATGCTTTTACAAATTCGGAATTCAAACAATTTTACGCAAGAATTGGATGAAGCAAAAAAAATATTTGATAAAGTTAATAATAGCAAAAGAGAAGAGGGAGAAAAGAATGAAGGAAGTGTGCCTTCCGACTCAAATACTGAAAGTAAATTAAAGAGTGACCTTAATAATTCGATGGCTTTAATAAAACCAAATGATAAAGGGATTGCTTTTACTCATAAAGAATCTATTCAGAATTCGATCAATAAAAATTTAATTTATACGACTAATAAATTATTTGTTAAGGCGGAGCGTAGTTTGGTTTGTTATCAAGCATCATATAAGGAGATTTTGCGTGCAAAAGAGAACGCAAATTTGTATAAATTGAAAGGAACTCTAGTCGTAACAGGTGGAGTAGGAATAGGTGCATCAGCATTAATAATTGCTGGAGGAAGCATTGCCAAGGCGGTGTTTGTGACTGGAATTGCTTCTTTGGGTGGGCCGTTTGGGTTATTAGCAGGAGCAATCTGTATTGGTGCAGGATTTTATTATGGACATAATATGATTAACAAAGGTGAAGAACTGTTTAAAGAGCCAAGGATTCGAGAAAAACTCAATCAAATCATGAACAAGGCGTTAAGTGCATATGATAATGAAAAATATCAAGAGTTCATCAACGTACTTTCAGAGAAATATGATGAAAACAGACGCCTCTTAAATTGCCACGATAAAGTTGGTATTGTAGGAATAAATATAGTAGATACGCTTAAAACACATGGTTTCAGACCGGATGGTATTGCATATCTACTTGTTGTGCTTGGGGAAGTTTTAGGTAGTGGGAAAATAAAAATCGAAGGTATCACACATGCAACTTTGAAGGCCGATGCAAAAAAAATTTTTCAACTAGCATTGAGTGACGAACTTGTGAAGGAGGCAAAAGAGCTAGATAATTGCACCAGCAAATTGAGACAAACCAGTCAAGGAAGCTTTGAGAGATATTTTAAAAGTACTTGTAGCAAAATTAAAGACTTTGTATTATCGGAAGAACGTACAAGACTGGCTCTAGATTATCTACAAGATTCTCTCGAAATACCCTTTTTTTCAAGACTTGAGGAAATACGTAATATTGCAAGAATTAATTTTGCACTTCTTAATATATTAGAATTTGACGATGACGCATATAAAGAGGCCAAAAAAACTGTTGAAGAAGTTCGAAAATCTGTAGGAGAAAATTATCAATTTGTTAGCAAAGCTAAATTACGCTTAGAAGTATTGGAAGATTTCTTGTGGATAATTAGTGGTGAAGAAATGTCTGATACATCTCTTTTCATCACATCTCCCGTCGAAATGAAGCCAGATTCGGAATCGGATGATAAATATGTTAATTACTTGAAAAACCAACAGTCTTTTAACCCAAATAAATATTATGAAGCTGTTGGTTTCGAATATTTGGCTGAACAAGAAGCCAAAATTAACAAGTTAAACAGTTTACGTTATTGGCAATCTGCTCAAGAAAACTACAACATTGCACGTGAAATAGACCCGAATAATTCGATTTATTCCATTGGATATGCAAAATGCCTATTAAAATTATCTAAATATACTCAAGTAATCAAGCTTTCTGATACATGTCAAGCATTAAATTCTTCATCAGAATACTGGCATTTTCGTAGTGTAGCTTATTTTAAACAAAAAAAATATGAAGACGCTATGTCATGCAATACTGAGGCATTAAAATTGGATCCTGGAAATGATTCAGCTAGTAAACATAGAGAACTTGTCAAAAACCTAAATGTAAATAATATAGTTGAACAACACATTGACCGCTATAAAAAAGAGTTAATATATGAAACAGATTATTTGAAAAATTTTCACAATAATGAGCGTACTGTCTACAATATTCTATCAATTGATGGCGGAGGAATACGCGGGGTATTGCCTGCTTTATGGCTTAGCGAAATAGAATCTCGCACTCGCAGACCCATTTCTCACTTATTTGATATGATAGCTGGGACATCGACTGGTGGGATCATTGCTGCTGGACTATCTGCACCAAAGTTCAAACTTATCTACAAGGCAGATGATAAGACAGATGATGAATACGAATATTCAAATTTAATCCCTGTATTTTCAGCTTTGGATTTATTGAACATTTACAAGAACGAATCCAAAAATTTATTCACTAAATCAACATCATGGCTTAATATACCTATATGGTCCAAGGCACACGATAAATACACAGATGTGGGTCGTTCTACTATGTTTAAACGATATTTTGAAGAAGCAAGATTAAGCAATTCTCTTACTGAATTGGTTATTCCTGCAGCAAATGAAAACTATACGCATTTATTTACTCGATATGATGCCTGCAAAAATAGTAAAAATGACGAGATAAATAACACTTTTGTTGACACATTAATGGCAACAACAGCTGCACCTACATTTTTTCCGCCTTATAAAATCGGTAATAAGACTTTTATAGATGGAGGGATACATCTTAATAACCCAGCATCAACTGCTTATAGTGAGGCCATCCGATATAATGTGCCAGAGAAAAAGATTTCTGTGCTTTCTCTAGGTACAGGATGTTATTTACCAGATCCTTCAAATGCTGATCAATATAATTTGTTATTTTGGGCTCAAAATCTTCCTAATTTCATGATATCTGCACAAGAAAGTAATACGGATCGTGAAATGTACACCAAATTAAAAGATCGTTATCAACGATGGCAAATCTTTTTTGAGGAGCCTATAGGATTAGATGATCATACAAGTATTCCTGATCTTTTGGAGTTAGGCTACCAATATATAGAAGAGCTTGATTATTCTGATGAAAACCCTATCAATAAGTTGGTCGAGTCCTTTGATCACTAGTGTTTTTTCTAAGTTTTTTACATTTTATGCATTACATTGTTATAAATGATGAGAAATTTTGAAATTTAGAATTCAATTTAGATAATTGAATCCTTTAGAATTAATTTCAAAACTGATGATCAAATCAATTTTTTTTTTTAAATTACTATGAAACATTAAAATTATTCATCTCTGTCCATGACATGAACATTTTGGGCATCATTGTTAGTAATTCCGGCAACTATGTTATAAATAGTGATGATTACACATAGTAAATTCTGGGCATAATGAATTTTGATTATAACAACTCTGGGGTTTTAGCGAATATTTATGAACACGCCATATAATGATCTTTTTTTATAAAAATATCAGGCCTCCGATACTAATTACAAAAAAATTTATGATTTATAGAAAAAAAGAAGACGAATTCAGAGCGTAAAAAATAGTAAATTTTATACGTATAACAGCATTGTTACTATAAGAATCATCAGTTCTTTACAGAGATGACCATACATCATTTGTACTCAATGCCGTAATAATTTTTTGTGGGTCTATTATGGCTTACAGTTTTTTTTCATGTATAATTATTGATATATAATAAAGAATTTTAGTTAGAATAACCGGTGGTGATCACTGGTGTATAATTAGCCAATACCGATAAACCAAAAAAAGATTTATTTCGTTTACTTTAGGGTTAGGGTGAGGCCTGATATTTTAGCAAGGTGTTTCATAGGCGAATTCTTGAGTTATTGGCATTTTTTTTAAAAAAATCTTTATTGTTGTACACAAATTGATTTGCACGTTACACCTGATCCTGCAAATCTATTGACTAATTATACACCGGTGATGATCACCACCGGTTATAGTTACTAAAATTCTATAATAAAACTCGACTTATTTTT